TTATACATTTTGTTAGGTAAATAATTTAGTTACAATTTATATTAATACTTACTGGAAGTTTTATTGTGCATCATATTGTATTTTTCCTTTTACCTAATTATATGTATAGGACTTTTTCATCACGGACTTTTTATGTTTAGTAATTTTTCACCGTTGACATTTTATAAATCGAACTTTTTAACCATAGTAGTATACCTGTATATACGTACAGATACGATAACATAAATAATATGAGTACCTACATGGCTACTACATCATAATATATACCTATTTTCACTCTTATACCCAACAAATAGAATTTTATTGATATTTATAGAAAAAAAACTAAGAAACCTGAAAACTGACAATGTCAGTAAACAGCCCAAAAAGAGTAAAAAAATGTTCAAAATTGTATGGTGTATATAAAATGAAAATATAAACTTTCTGTAATATGTTCATGTTTTAATTACAGTCATTCGTTTTTGAATAACAATAAAATAACAAAACCGCTACAGTACATATTATATACTATATATTAAAAAAAATTCATTCATATTTTTTTTGTAGTAAAGCACATCATATCAAGTGGTTTATAATATTCTTTTTGTATAACGACGTTTAATTAGTAACTTAAATCGTCGATAAGGAAAAACATAAATTAAATACAGATTATTATACTATACCAGTTTTTCACTAGCATCTCATAATATTAAGTCTATTATTTCAATGATTTCATGTTAATGATGTAAAATTTCAGATCGAAAGAGATTTATAACCTGGTAGACGATAAAGACTACATAGTACCCGGCAACGACGACGACGAAGACGACTATTTAAGCGATTCTAGCGATGAGATCGACTACATGGACTATGATGAATACTTCGAGGAGAATTTCGACTATGACGATTTTGAAAATGAAGAGCTCTCCGTCGATGAAACTCGTCAGCTATCCGTTGAACTGAAATTGTTGATGGACGATGTCGATCACGAATGGCTGAATTGTTTTATCGACGACGTCGACAATGTAAGAGAGAGCGACGAGGTCCAAAGAAGGAATGACCAACGGTTTAAATATGCAGTCAAGACGAAGTCAAAATATAAAATTCTAGAGTGTTATCAGGATTTTTTGCATTATAAAATCATAAACGGTTTCCGATGTTTCAGTACGGTTATCGGGGATTCGGACACACTGAAAAAAGTGAACAAATGTTCTTTGTGAGCGTTTAGACGTATCACTTCAGATATGGTCGTCGGCAACGCCAATGTACTTATGGTGAGGAGTTGTTTTCAGTGTATATCGAAGTTAAACTGCTTGGTCCAAGGAGAGCTAGAACGTACACAGAACTCAAAATAATGAACGTCAAGCGTGTCGATAGACTTGGCAAACCTCCCCTATTGTTTGATAAACGGCATGAGATAGCGAGACCAAAATATCAACAAAAATGCTCCTAATATATTGTTACAATGGTATTTGAAAAATATTAAAAATCCCTAGTCACAGTTTTTATTTATAAGTATTTAAAGTTCAAATTATAGTTTATTTTTCTATAAGTATCAATAAAATATTATTTCTTGGGTAAAAAAGCGTGAAAATTTAATACAAGGCTCCTGATATATTGTTACAATAGCAGTTGAAAAATATTAAAAACACGTAGGCACATTTTTTTTTCCAAGCAATTAGAGTTCAAATTTTGACAAAATTTAATAAATATTTTGTAGTTAAAAATATATAAAATGTTCAACTTTTATAGCTGAGGATTGAAAATTTAAAACAAGGTTCCACGTAAATAGGTAAATATACAAATTACTTTATTCACAATAATATCATCAAATATACTTAGTAATATTATAGGCTGACTGACCGTTTTCGCTCAAAATTGTTTTTCTTATTCAATGATATTTTGTCATTGAATTCAAATTTAACACCATTCATTACAGTAACCCACTTGTAACCTACTGTACATCAGAGCGACCTCCACTTACCCACTTTTTAATCTTAAATTTAATTTAATTAAATAAACTATAAATAATTGTTATTATGTAAACAATAAATTACAACTATTTATTTTATAATAGCCTTTTTTTTCTTTTATAGGAATCATGCGATGATCAATGCTGCGAATGTCGACCACCTAGAACGACATGTTGCATCGTTTAGATCGTAACGTAGTGTTTGTTAAAATAAAAATTGATATAATATTATATACTTTACATTTTGTCCAACATATTATATTATTATGACATTACATAATATTGTTTAATGATATATTATAATAATGTGATCGAAAACCTTAAACCATGATAAAAACTCATTAAATTATTAAGCAGTCGACATAGTTACAAGAAAACACGATAATACAATAAAAAAATCATTATTTCAAAACTTGATATTACAAATCTTATGATACACGATTTATTAACGTCCATGTACTTGACCCACCGACTTTACATGAAACAATCCAAACCTATACCATAATTTTATTAGCAAATTTTAGCAAATTTATTCCAGAAATTAGAAAATTATTTTTGTAGATGTTATACATTTTTTTTCTTTAGTTGGGCCAAGTTCACGTAACCCACCTACTTTGTCCGATCGGTGATTGTTGTAATACAAACACTGGTAGTTAGCAAAAAATTAGCAAATAATAGCAGATCTATTTCTATTATATGTACTATTATATCTATCTATCTTCTATCTATATAAATAAAAATGAATATCGCTTTGTTCCGCACTCGTAATCTTGGCCGAGAGTTATAGCTTGTGATTATCGTATAGAACCTACTAACCTTCCCCGGATCCAGCTGAATATATATGCTGAATTTCAAGTACATCGGACTAGTAGTTTTCAAGATTACGAGTGCGGAATAAAGCGACATTCTTTTTTATTTATATAGATGATAGAAGATATTTAGATTGATATAAGTAGCTTGCTAATTTTTCATTATTCCAAGATTAATCTCAAAATAAAATATAATCTAGACCGTATTTGTAATACTATAATATTACCTATACCTAACATCAGTATAATGTATTTTTTCCCTTCACCTAAATGACTTACATGCAGTAAAAAAGGTTAGCATACTATAATATTATGTGTGAACACGTAACCTATGTCAACATTTACCAAAATCCTATTGTAAATGTCAACATCCAATAATATAGGTACATGTCTATATTATTTTAATTTTTCAACATTCAAGAATTTAATAGGTATACTTATGTCGACATTCACTAGGTAATTGTCAGCACTCGCCAATTGCGGATATTCGCAGTAATGTATTAAATAAAAATATGAATAATGATAATATGAAATATTATAATTAATTGACCTGAGTGTGTAGTTGTATTCGTGGATACGGGTTTGAGTTACATGTTCGAGGTCATTGCGGTGTATATACTTATAATATATTACGTGTTTTGATTGGTATACTTAACACTTGGAATATCAAGAGATATTTTTCTCTTGAGTTCTATGTATTAATATTATATTGATGTGATTCTCGAACACAAATATTATACGAATTTGTTGTCTATGATTTATGACGTGACTATTATCGTGTGCTCTCAAAATCCCTACATTCGTAGCAAGAGTACAAAACTACAGAATATAGTCGATTCACCAACCGAATGTAATTTAAGTTAATGAGCGATTATTATTATATTTATATTCTAAATAGACAACAGTATAACCGTGTAATAATACTATAACTGGCCTATAATACGATGATAGTCACAGAACCTCATATTGCAAAATATTAAATATATAGGTGAATGAATAATTAACAAGGTTAATTTGTTCGTTAATACAAGGTAATTTAGACAGTCATATCGTCATATCGAATACTATATTTTTAATTATAAAATCATAGATCTATAAAATTTTATCAATATTAAGATATAATAACATTATTATGTGTACTACAGAATAGTCAGAAAATAAATTTCAATAATCCAAATTCTAATTTCCATGTAATCTATAACAAGCCCGGTACCTACTTGGGTTCAATTATTATTGAATCGCAAATCGCAATTCGCAATTATTAATGTAGAATTTCTATAAATAATAACAATATTTTGTACGTTTATAAGTGTATCAGAGTTTACTTAAAATGGTTCCATAATTAATATGCCTGCAGAGCTGCAGTTATAATATAAACACCTAATTTGAGTATCGTTTCTTAGTTTAAAATTTAAATATTATTAACTGATGAAATAGGTAGATATAGTGGATACACAGTTATGTTTTAAATACATTATAATTTAGATTTTGCTAGTCATAAAGAATATACGTAAAGTAATGTTTTTCTTTTAAATTGTACAATGTTTAGAATTCTATGGCGTATTGAAACTTCCACAAACAGTCAGAAAATTGTTGAATATAATAGTGTATCTTTTATAGTTTTTGTGTTATTGATACTACTAATATATTTAATACCATTAAATAGAAGTTCTTATAATATGTACATTTCTTTTATTGATAAAAATAAAATAAAAATCAAAGTCAAATATAAAGGGTTAAAACCGGTATTAACCAAAACCGAAACCAAAATTTGTTATTAAAATTTGAAACAAATTTTTTTATTTTTGAGAACTGAAACCTAAACCCAAACCGATAAAATCATAAAGGTTCCAATCCCTGATTGAAACACCCCACATTACATACAGTCAGTCACTATTAGTTATCCTGTGTTTTTATTTAAGTATAGAAATATTATATATTACATTTATATAAGGAAGATTAAAAAAGACTTTTGCGGCTTATTTATGAAATAGGAAAACATTATCATACATCAACAAGTAAGAATAAGTTGATACTTAACCTCGCAGAAGTATTGATATATTTTGATGAAGTCGTTGAGTAAAACACGTGTTAATGATATATTTTGGAAAATAATTGTAATACCTATTTATTACCATGGTCTAACAACTGAAAATTGATGGTTTTCGCACATATAATCGCATTATATTTATATTATATTATAATATAGTATAATATTGCGAGCTTTCCTTGCTGTTCGGTCAATAATCTCTACGGCTCCCGGAAGCCACGCCTGCCTCGTCGTCGTCGGTTTCGGATCCGCCGTAGTCGTCCTGCCCGGTCGCGTTACCGCCCCCTGAACAAAAATTATTGTTGTACTGATCCGCGGCTCCAACGTCACTGGAATCCCGATAACGGTCGGTCCTCGAATCGCTCATTGACAACGACCACGGTCCGGTGACCAAAGATCCCGGCATGCTCACGTCCTCGACGAGATCGTGGGCGGGTGGCCATTCGTCGGCGACCACGAAGGTGGCGCGCCTCAGGGCGACGTTGCTGAGGTTCGGCGACAAGCTGCTGTTGAACGGATATCGACCGCTGCTGTTCGTCGACATCAGACGGTCCGTCCGACGATCGCAGTTCACATTGCGGCCGATAGGATGACGGGCCGCCATCCGCATATCAATCGAACTGTCGGACGAGGTCAACGTCGATAGCGAGCTCGAGGAGTAGTAGTTGTTGTTGTTGTTGTTGTGGTCGTCGTTGAATCGGTTTATCGGTTGGGCGCACGACTGACATCCCTGTTCGGCAGACCAGTTGCTTTCGTCCGACAGGTAATTGTCGTCGTTGGCGGCGGCTGCGGCGGCGGCGCTGTGGAAATCGTTGGCCGGCATCAAGCGCGTCGCTGCCGAACGGTCGTCGACCATCCTCTCGGACGTCAGAAAGTGAAACCGGTCCTCCGTCACGTGACTGTTCGAGAACGCGGCATAGCTACTCACTTCCGGATTCCAGGAGTCGTCGGGAGCGGCTGTATTGGATCTGTCATTACTTCTGGACCCTTCATGATCGTACTGTTGTTGCTGTTGCTGCTGTTGGCTGGCCCTCCTGTCCGAACACGACACCGCCGAATTGTCGGGCTCCCTAGGCGTCTTGGTCCGATATTCCGAAAATGCTGCCTGACACGAGCGGTTTTGGTCTTTGCCTGGGCACTGTCCTACCCTCCGCCCGTCGTCGGACGTCGGACCACGTGCACTTGCTGCACACCTGTCACGCGGCTGGGGGGCGCTCATCCTCTGCCCCGGCGACGCTCGTTGACGATCGCCGCTGAAGATCGCGTCCGCACGTCTACCGTTATCCGTCGGCGTCTTGGGCCGATGTTCCGCAAATGCTGACGGACACGAGCGGTTTTGGTCTTGGCCTGGGCACTGTCCTACCTTCCGCCCGTCGTCGGACGTCGGACCACGTGCATTTGCACACCTGTCGCGCGGCTCGGGCGCGCTCGTTCGCCGACAACCGCCGCTGCAGTTCCCATTCTCCGTCGGTTCTGACCTAGTGCCGTCTCGAATTCCGAGGGACCGTTGACGGCATTGTTCTTGCGGTGGAGGTTCTCGGACGCATTCCGTGGTTCTCGGGCACTGGCGCTGAGGCTTGGCCGCTGGCGCCGTCTTCTGCACGCTGCTGCAGTTCCGTGCTCTTTGGTCTTCTGGTTCAACGCGCTCGACCTGATCCGACACTATCGACGCGCAGATGTTGGTGTTGCAGTTTGGCGTCTTCGCGGCCGCCGGCGCCGTCTTCTGCACACTGCTGCAATTCCGCGCGCTTTGGTTTACCGGTTCAACACGCTCGACTGGATTCGACAAGAACGACGCGCAGATGTCGGCGCTGCAGTTTGGCGCCTTCTCGGCGGCCGGTGTTGTCTTCTGCACACTGCTGCAGTTCCGTGCGCTTTGGTCTTCCGGCTCTACGTTCTCGACTTTATCCGCTGGGATCAACGTGCAGATATTGGTGTTGCAGTTTGGTGTCTTCGGGGCCGCCGGCGGTGTAGTATTCTGCACACTGCTGCAGTTCCGTGTGCTTTGGTTTTCTGGCTCGACGTGCGCGACCTGATCCGGTGGGATTAACGTGCAGTTTGGCGCCTTCGCGACCTCTGGCGTACTGTTGCAGGCCCGATCGGGTTCTGTCATCGATATCTCCACACTGGACACGGTCCAATCGCAATTCAAACTTTCGTTGAACGACGATCTACCCGCGTTGAATACCTTCGGACAATTTGTGTGGTCTTGCGATTCGTTGTTATCGTCAACGTCTAAGTCGGCTTCCTTGGGAAATTTACAGCTTTCGACTGACTTAGTTTTCTTTACGCTTCTCTTCAGACATTTAGAGCTGGACTTACATTCCTGATACGTCATGTTCAGGTTACTAAATTTGGAATCGCTTTCCATTTCAGTTTTAATATTACATGTGCTTTGATTTATAATTGAAATAGTATTTGATGGCTTAGTCTGATTAATTTGATTTGTATTTTGTGGTACTGTTGTTGAACATGGCGACTTTGGTTTTCTGCAATCCATGACCATCATTGGTTTCTCACACGGACACGGTGTTTTTTCTTTAACTCCACAGCGGTTTTTGACAGCCCGTTTTCTTTCTTTTAATTTGCAAATAAATGGTAGCGTTTCGTCATTTTTTAACTTAAGACCGGAATAATCAACTATTGTTACACCCGTCATTTTAAAAATAAACTTTTTGTCCGGAATGAGTGTATCAGAATACATTCTCTTGCTTAATACCTTATTACCAGGGAATACTTTACAAGACACTATTGCAAATGCAGCATCGTCAATTTGCTGTTGGTTACATATTTGGTTTCCTACATCTCTGAACAAAAAAATAAATATGAATTTCAAAATAAAATATATTATATCTGAATTACTTACGTATCAATTGCAATGGAACCTGCCGTTCGTTTGGGTCTAGTTTCTTCATTAATCAGTATACTATAAGGATGCCAATTAAAACTGTCCGCAACTTCTTTTGATACTTGGTCAATTGGAATAATATCATCACATCTACAAAAAAAAAAAAAAAACATTGAAATATAAATTCTAAATTCTTATTGTGTTACATTAATTTGATTATAATTACTCGTTTCTGTGTTTAATGATGGCACTTTTATCGCTGAAAAATTTAAATATTTAGTTATTTAAAGAGTTTATTTTGTGTAAAAAACGTCTTTATAAAACATACTCGGTTACAATTTGAAAACGATTTAGATATAGCTCCCATTGGTTATGATCATGGTTACTCGGCAAACCAATAGAAGTTGGATTATACCACGTATAAATTGGCCAATCCGACCTTACATAGAATGATTGTACAAAGTATGGTGAAGTTTTAATTGTTGTGTAAGAACGCATGTTTGTAGCTACAGCTGCTGAACGTCTGTGTTTAATATCTTGTTTATTTTCGGTGGTTGACGATTCATCAGGTATATTATTATCTTGTAACCATTTAACCATATCCATCTATAATATAGATATAGTGAACATTAAATTGACTAATTAAATAAATGAAAAAAACTGAGAATTTTACCGTATTATCAGACATCAACTCTAAATCATTAAGATCATCGGGTGGTGGTTTTAAAAAGATTTGAAAAGATTTATCACTTCTCAACGATATAAATAAGATTTTGATAAGATGCATCTTTAAATCTGAAGTTTCATTATCCAATCGAGTTAACCACGATGAATAGTTCAGTTTATCTAGAATAAATCATATTGTTATATTATATTTATTATATTTTCAGTAAAGATACAATCAGTTTTAATCTTATTTCACTTTATAATACCTGCTTCATTATCTAGTCTTATAATAGAGAGATGGTTAATGTGTCGGTAAAATTCATATTTTGAGGCATCGTCTGTATTTTGTTTGCTGCTTATCCTTTTTATAATTCTTGGTGAACAATCAGTACGTGTATTCATATTAGTGTTTGTTTTTAAAATTTAAATTTGTGTAATTTGGGAAGTTTAATGGCTGGAGTAGATTGGTTGTATTTCTGTTAGTAATAGGTATTTGTTGTTTTTTGTATTTTGTTTAGTTGCCATGCGTAATTTTGAAGAAAAAATGAGCCACTGTTTTATTTTATATAATTAATATTACGACTTTTTACTTTCACATAATCGTTTAATTTGTAAATGCAAATAATATTATTAGAATTTAAGTTTGATAAATAAAGTCAGATACGCGACTGACTGTCTAATAACAAACATACCTAATTACTGAAAAAAAAATTATGAAGTTTTGGCATTTTTGTATATCCGATCACATCTCCATTTTATTATACAATTTTTTATTTTTTGTTTGGTATTTTTAAATTTATTACAACTTGAAAAAAATGTCTATATTACTTCACAATTTGTTGTAGGTACTATTGACTACAAATATGCAAGTTCAATAAGTCTCAATCAAAACAGTTAGTTTTCGTTGAAAATTAATATAATAATTCATTAATTAATACAGTGCAGTGGGTATCGCCCTGCTGTAAGCACGGTAGTTTACATGTTGGTCACTGTAATATTATTGGTGTTAAATTTTAATTCAATAATATAATATTATTAAATACAAAAAACAATTCTGAGAGGAGACCTCGGCCTAGGATATTTTATATTGTTATTATTAATACGGTAGCCAGTAAGTTGAATTAATATAATTTATATATAATAATACAATTTAGAAGTTTCATGTACCCATGAATAATATTTTAAAAGATTACATCACAAAACTAAAATCATTTTTCTTCGTTTAAATACCTAATTTCGTCTAAATTCAAACTTGAAATAACTATAAAAAAAAACAGTGTGTATCCTATATTATTAGATTTTTGGTTGCATTACGAACTACTTACGTGGAATATTGTTTTAAATTTTCAATCCTTTTTTTTTTTTTTTTTTTAAATCAAACATTTTTAACATTTTTAAAGCAAAATAATATTATGTAAATTTTAAATATGATACGTTTTGTCAAAAATTGAACTTTAAATGATTTTAGAAAAAATCATACCCATTAATTTTAATATTCATAAGCTGATATTGTAACAATGTGTGAGGACACTTGTATTCAATTTTCAAGCTTTTTGACCCAAGGCATAACGTTTTATTGCCATTTATAGAAAAAAAAAAATTGAAATTGAAATTATCAGTAAAAATCTTGAAACAAGTCAAAATATTTTAAAAATTTCATCAAGTATAGAAAATTAGAAAATATATGTGATTGTAAATTTAAAGGATCCATGGTTATTCGTTTTTGAATTGCAACAACATAAAAAAATTACTCTATAAGAAGTCGATTGAATATCTATATTAATATTAATATTAAAGATCCATAGGCACAATATTTTTTATAAGTATTAAGATTTCTGATTTTGACAAAATGTATAAAAATCTTAGATATTTTCAAACTATTTTGTACCTAGTTAAAAAAAATATAAGATGTTCAGTTTGTATGGTAAAGGTATGAAAATTTTAAACAACGATCATCATAAATATTTCATATTGTAACCAAACAATCTAAAGAATATTTAAACACAGTTATTTTTTTCAGAATTTTTAGTTTAAATTTGGGAAAAATTACAAATCACATCCAAGAATTAGAATTTTAGTTTTTTTGTTATAATTTAAAAATATTATTAGTTTGCTTATGAGAATTTTATAGTATATTATTATATACACAATTAAATTTTAAAACGTACTTTTTAAATGACTTTATCATTTTGTTGTACTAATGAATAATAGTAAAATAAATTACTTTATTCACAATAATATTATCATCAAAATTTATTTACTTATTATTATTATAGGCTGACAGAATAATATCACTGAGGTCTTCACTCAGAATCATTTTTCGTATACAATTATTTTATATCATTGAATTCATACTTAACACCATTCATTACAGTGACCTACTTGAGACCTACAACACCAGAGTGACTACCCACTTACCCTAAATTCATTTTCGTACGACCGGTTTATTTACGTATTTTAAACGGCTGTCTGGATTTAGCGAAGTCCGGACTAATGAGGTCCTGCATAATAAGGTTTAACTGTAGATTCACTTTCCCATCCAACAAGATACTGAAGTTGAAAATCGAAACATTATATCGACTACTAATCGTGTACACACACCCAAAAATATAAAATAAAAAAACACACATCGTTGTAAAATAAATACACTCATCATTCCACTCAAAATCTCAAATTTCAAAAAAAAAAATTAATGTTTTTAATTTAAATACTATTTTAGATTCTGAGTGAAACGATGAATGTATTGATTTTACAATGATGTATATTTTTTTTTTTGTTTTTTTTTTTATTCTTGTACACTATAAGTAGTCGAAATAATGCTTCGATTTTCAACTTCAGTATCTTGTTTGATGGGAAAGTGAATATTGTTTGTACATTGGTTAGGTCAAAATTTAAAATTCCCAGTAATTTTCAAAAGCACTGTGAAAAACAAAAGAAAAATTAAGGTAAACCGGGAATTTTTACTCAAAATTGATTTTGGCTTTTGGTGTAACTCTGAAACAATAAATGTTTGTAAATAAATCAAATAGCTTATGTATGTAAATGTTTTCACTGGTTGTTTATATATGCCTTTTCTATAAACGATCTAATTTTCAAAATATTTTGATTCATTTTGAACTGTTTAGGAACATTTTCAGTTTCCAATTTTATTAATCATTTTTTCTATGAATGTCAATACAACTTTATTTGTAGGGTAAAAAAGCTTGAAAATTTGATACATGGGTCCTACTATATTATTAAAATGATATTTGAAAAATATTAAAAATCCTTAGACTTGGTTTTTTTATGAGCATCTAAAGTTAAATCTTGGCAAAATACGGAAAAATAACGAAAATTAGCAAATTTTAGATTCTGAGTGAAATGATGAATGTATTGATTTTACAATGACGTGTGTTTTTTTTTTTAATTATTAATTTTTGTATCTGTGTACAGTGTACACGATAAGTAGTCGAAATAATGCTTCGATTTTAAAATTCAGTATCTTGTTCGATTGGAAAATGAATCTAGTTTGTGCATGCGGGAGGTCAAATTTTAAAATTTCCTATAGTTTTCACAAGCGCCGGAATTAAACACATAAAAATTAAGAAACAACGGGAATTTTTATGCAAAATCTGATTTCCAAAAAATCGATTTTGGTTTTTGGTGTAACTCTAAAACAAATGAACGTATATACATGAAATTTTCACTGGTTGTTTATATTTGCATTTTCTATACACGATAATATTTTCAAAATATTTTAATTTATTTTGAACTGATTACTGACATTTTCATTTTAAATTTTTTTTTTTAGTTTTTTTCTAAAAATATCAATAAAATTTGATTTGTTGGTTAAAAAAAGCTTAAAAATTTAATAGAAGGCTCCTAGTATATTGATTCAAAGGCAGATGAAAAATATAAAAATCCATAGTCACATTTTTTTTTATAAGCATTTAAAGTTCAAAAATTGCCAAATATGGAAAAACCACGAAAATTAGCAAATTATTTTGAGTTAAGAATTGTAAAAAATTTTCTTTTTAAATCTAAGATTTTAAAATGTAATACAAGATTACTTATAAGTTTGTCTACCTTTATCAATAAAAAAATCTCTACCGGAAAGTCAAATTAAATTTTTATGAGCGTTTGAAATTCAAATTTTTACAACATTAGATATTCACTCGATTTCTCATGTAGCGATTTCCTTATTTTGTTGTAATTCAAAAACGAAAAACTGTAGATACATGAAAATTTCACTGAATATTAGCATGCTTATATTAGCATTTCCTACACCATACAATGTTTATTTTATCAATGATTATACTTGATAAAATTTTCAAAATATTTTGACTCTTTTTGAGCGGTTTACGGACATTTTCAGTTTTCAATTTTTTTAGTTTTTTTTTCTAATAAATAACAATTAAGTTTTATCTAATGGGCCAAAAAGTGTAAAAATTTAATACAAGACTCCTGATATATTGTTGCAATATCAGTTCAAAAACATTGAAAATACAATGGCACAATTTTTTTTATAAGCATTTAAAGTTGGAATTTTGACAAAATGTATCATAATCTCGAAAATTATCAATCATTGTAATTAATAAATTATAAAATGTTCAGTTTTTATAGCTAAAGATTGCAAATTTAAAACAAAGGTTCTCATAAATAGTTCATACTGTAACCAAAAAATCTAGAAATATATGAACACAGTTATTTTTACAGACATTTTAAATTCAAATTTGAACGAAATTACATATTAAAAAACCTAGAATAACTATTTTTGTAATTTTGTTGTGATTGAATAATATTATTCGTGGGTACTTGAAACTTCTAAAGTGTACTATTATGTATCTATGATAGTATCACGGTTTTTGTTGATGTATAACGCGTTATAAATACCCAATGGATATTGTGATATGATTAATTTGGAATTTATTATAGGTACCTATTTTAGGTAAATTTTTTTAATACCATATATATGTATATAATAATTAATATGTATTATACCTAGACTGACATACCGTCTCCGCTCAGAATCGTTTTTCTTATACAATGATATTATATCATTGAATTCAAAATTAATACTGTCCGTTACACAGTGACATACTTGTAACCTACTGTACAGCAGAGCGACACCCACTTGCCCACCTTTTTTTTGTTGTTTTTCCCTGCGCATTTTAACGATAATGGGAATATGGGTTTTTGTCCTCATCAATGCACCAACTATATTCATTTTACTATCAAACAAGTTAAATAAATTATCATCAGAATCAACATCATCAAGTTACGGGTAATGTTAACATTTGGATAATGTCGACACTAGCCATGCGTTTTGGTGAATTTGTCATTTTTCGTTTATATTAATGAAATATTAACATATACCTTTCGGCCAAGTGGGACCGAGTGTAATCTTATATTTTATCGATTAC